TGGAGGAAGTAATCCTGCCCAAATCAACCAATGTATTTAATGCAATCTATAAAATTACAAGAGATGTTCTTCACAAACCTAGAAAAGACAATCATAGAATTTGTCTGAAATCATAAAAGACCCTGTATTGCCAAAGCCATCCTGTGCAGGAAGAATGCTGAGGGGGACATCTCACTTACTGACCCAAAAATATATTATAAAACTGTGATCATCAAAACAGCATGGTATTGGCACAAAAACAGACACAAGGACCAATGGAACAGAGTAGAGACCGCAGGACCCCCAAACATAAAGCCAACTCATCTTCGACAAAGGGTACCAGTCAATCCAGTGGGAAAAGGAAAACCTCTTTAGCAAAAGGTGCTGGAAAAACTGGGTTTCCACCCATAAAAAGGTGACTCTGAACCCCTATCTGTCACCATTAACAAAAATCAACTCAAAGTGGATCAAAGATCTAAACATAAGATAGCAAACTATAAAACTACTGTTGAAAAACACTGGGGAGGTTCTGGGAGACATGGGAGTAGGCAAAGACTTCATAAGTAACACAGACAATAATCCTCAAAATGGACAGTGGGATTACATCTGATTAATAAATTTCTGCACAGCAAAGGAAACCCTCAGAATGGGAGAGAACATTTGTTAACTGTGCCTCAGATAAGGGACTTATAACCAGAATACACAGAGAACCCAAGCAGCCTATCCAGAAGAAAATGACTAACTCAATTAAAAGATGGGAAAATGAGCTGAATAAACAACTCTCTAAGGAAGACATATGAACAGCCAAAAAGCATATGAAAAAATGCTCAACATCCCTCACTGTAAGGGAGATGCAGATCAAAACCACAATGAGATACCACCTAACCCCAGTCAGAATGGCAAAGATAAAAATCACAAAATAAGTGCGGGTGGGGATGTGGTGAAAGGAGAACACTCCTGCATTTTGGGTGGGAATGTAAACTGTCCCAACCACTGTAGAGAACAATATGGAGGTTCCTTAAAGATCTACACATAGAACTATCATATGATCCAGCAATTCCACTCCTGGGTATCTACCCAAAGGACAGGAGAATACTCAGTTGGAAAAGAGCTTGAGCAACTGTATTTATTACAACACTATTCACGATTGCTAAGACATGGAACCAACCCAAATGTCCACAAATGGATGAATGGATTGAAAAAGTGTGGCACATATACTCCATGGAATACTATTTAGCCATCAAAAACAAGGCCCTGTAATTTGATAGAAAGTGGATGCATATGGAAGATTTGTTGATGAGTGAAGCAAGTCAGGCTATGAAAGAGAGACATTATATGTCTCCATGTAACATATACTGACTGTCTACACTCTATGGTAGAGACCGAAAGACTGGAGGACATAAATGCATTAAAAATTGTATGGACACTAGAGACAAAGTGGTAGGAGAGTGTGGGAGGGAAACAATTTGGGAGGAAAAATGGAGAGGTAAGATATTTGTGGGACATAGATATGGTTTATTACCTGTTGATGAGGATATGTGTAGTATTCTCAACTGGACTGAGATGCATATTATGCTGGGTAAAGTCTATTTACAATCTATTGATAAAAAATTGGGAGAAAAAAACAAAACATAGGAGTTAGTGATTGGTGTGATACACCTTTGGGAGTAGAAGAAATACTTTCTTCTGCCTGGGTCATTACTGCCTTTGCACTCAACACTGGGAATTTAGTGTCAGCTCAAGAAAGGTGTTGGGGTTGACATTGTTGCTTAGTAAGTTGACTAGTTTGCCTACTTAAAGAGCAGGATAATCTTCCTATCTCAAAGTCCATAAACATAATCATGCATAATTATATTATAATGTATTCACAGGATTGGAGTCTGGACATCTTTGTGGAGCCATTATTTTGCCTACCACAAACTCATTAAAGTATAGACTGTACTTTAAACCATTAGAATAGAGGATATTACCCAAGGATAATGTGTAGTCATTTCTTGAATTTTTACCTGCTGGGAGGTTGCATTAGCCATTCCTGTTCTGTATGTCCCAGTCTCTTGGGTATCTAGAATTCTAACATTCGGGACGTCTAGGGAAGTTTGTGCCTTAGTCTGTTGAGGCTGCTGTAGAGAATAGCTGAGAGTGGGTGGTTTATAAACAACAGAAATTTATCTTTCGGTTCTAAAGTCTGGAAACTCACAATCAAGGAATCCTCAGATTAGGTGTATGGTGAGGGTCTGCTTCCTGGCAATAGACTGTGGTATTTTTGGTGTAAGCTGCACATGGTAGATGGGGTAAGGAGCTCTCTGGGGCCTCAGTTATAAGGGCACCAGTCCCATTTATGAGGGTTCCGTGCTCGTGACCTAGTTCCCTTCCCAAAACCTAGTCTCCAAATACTGCCACTTTGGGGATTAGATGCCGGGGACCAGCCTCGGCGTGGGTGGGTTATCTCGACGGAGGCAGCGAAGGTGAACAGAAGACAGAGGCCTCGATGCTTTCTCATGCACGTCCTATGCCGGACACCCCTCAAAGATCGCTCTCTGAGGAGTGACAACTGCTAGGAATCATCGTGCATTTTTATTGAAAATGTGATACATGCAAGTAAATGGGTGAGGGGCAGTAAAAAATTTACTCTAAGGAACAGGGTATACAAAGCATGGAAGCAATAATTATAAAACATGCTGTTTGTCTTGTTAGCTCAGGTAAAATCAATCACAGTTCTCAGGATGAGGAAGTCCATTTGTCTGCTGTATCTTCTTAGATCTTGATTACTGGGAAGAGTCTTTTGAAGAGGAGGCTTGCAGGATGTTTGATAACTTCAGTCCCGGGCCAGGGCGATAACGTTGCTGGTTACAACGACCTAGATGGAAATCTTGTCTTGCTAAGTAAAGACACAGTTAATATATGGACTATCTATACATTACAACAATGGAGGGTGAGTCTATGATCTTATATGGGAAAGGAAGATGATCTTGTAGCTCAGGAGACAACACAGGATGTTTTATTAGCAGTTTTTCATAGTCAACAACACATAGATGAGAAACTCTTTGTAGTTGAAAGCTACCTGTTGCTTTAGATAAGAACTCCCAGCTAAAATGGTTAATCTTTCTGTGGAGCCCTCAGCTTTGTTTATTCTGTTGTCCCATCCAGGCTTTTTCCTCTAATAAATCTGTGGGTTCCTGCATTTTGTTTGTTGAGTCTTGTCAATTAGTGAGTTCTTTTGTTTTATCTCTGAGTCTCTGTTATGTGGTGAATGTGCTGACTTTGCTAGTGTGAGTTAACTTTGACTTGTAGCTTTAACAAGGGCTAGCCTTAAACTAACTTAGTCTACATATGCTTCTAATGCTAATTTGGTTTATACTAACTTAATCTATATGTTAATTTTGGCTTAAAAACAGACAGGTGGAGGAGTCTTAAACTTTCTGGTCCTTGTGTCAGTCTTAGGGAACCACATTCCTACAAGATCACTAATTGGCTTTATTGCAATGGTTG